AGAGAGAGAGAGAGAGAGAGAGAGATGTGAGAGAGACACATCGATTGGCTGCCTCCTGCATGTGCCCCGACCAGGGCCAGGAATCAACCTGCAACCCAGGCACGTGCCATTTATGGGGAATTGAGCCTCCTGCCTTTTTGGTGTGTGGGCCCGACACGCTAACCACTGCTCACCGGCCAGGGCAAGATCATGTCCATTTTTAATTTTCTGTTGGTTTACATGACTGTACACCTCAGTCAGCTATATGGATTAGAGCCTGGGTGTCATCTCCTCAAATTGTAAAAGGGTGCCTAGTAGTAGGTAAGAGGCCATTAAAGAGTTTTTAATGAATTATTGAATATTTATTGAAACTACTCCCCAGTAATCTGTAATTGATAACCACTGAGATAGCAGAATAACTGCACGGATTCCACTCCTTCAGTGATAAAGCAAGCACGCATTCAGTCCCCGTTTTGTGCTGGGCACTGTGGTACTGTGAATGGAATGTGAGCAAAGCCAAATAAGACATATTCTTTTTTAAAAAAAGCACCATGTAAACTAACATCACAACTGGGCAGAGTTGATGATGAACTATAATCAGGTGATCTACAGACTTCGAGGTTGGGTCAGGCTTCCCTCAGGAAATAAGGGGAAAGTTACAAAGCTCACCAGGCAAGAGGAAATAACAACTTAGAAAAGAGCATGCACAGAAGCCCAGGGACATGGGGAAAGGTGGCATTTAAGAGGAGCAGAAGGAGGCTTGCAAGGTGGGAAGGCAGCAGACAAGGGTTTCAGGGCAGATGAGGCCAGAGGGGGAGGCCTTAGGAGTGTCTCACTTTCACAGAAGACTCTCAGTGTCCAGGAATTCGCCAAAATGACCACGCAAGTGCCTCTACCAGTATGATGCTTCAGCAGCCCCACTTCCAAGTGAAAAAAGTCTTAGCTGTGTCGCTCTGAATGTGCCTGCCACCACACAATTTGGGATGGTGGTCTGCCTGTCACCTCGATCCTTTTGAGAATGCACTAAGGGTCTTTAATACTCATTTTGTTCAGCTTTTTCTTGTTGTAGGGATGGGAGTGACAACTTGCAAGCTCTTCAATGTCAGCTCTGAAACCTGAAGCTTAGTGCCTTTATTTTCATACATGATTTTTTTTTTTTTTAATATATCTTTATTGATTTCAGAGGGAGGAAAGGAGAGGGAGAGAGGGAGAAACATCAATGATGAGAGAGTCATTGATCGGTTGCCTCCTGCACGCCCCCGGCTGGGGATCGAGCCCGCAACCCGGGCATGTGCCCTGACCAGGAATCGAACCCCGATCGCCTGGATCCTAGGTTAACACTCAACTGCTGAGCCACACCTGGCTGGGCCATACATGATTTTTTTATAACATCCTATTTTACCAGTCAGATGTCTATTTTTTTCTTCTTCTTGGGTTCCTGGTTGTGTTCTGGGCAATTGAGTTTGACAGATGACAAAAAAAAATGAGGTAATATTTACCAAGGCAATGAATCAATAAAATATAGGCAACCTTCTGGAAGTAAAGAGTAAATTGATATCAACAGATGACTGATAGCCAACAAGGCAAATCCACAAATCTCTGAATTTGGCCAGAATAATTAAATTTGAAACACAGATGCTCTAACAGTTCAGTGTTTCTGCTTACTGAATCTTAGAACAGGAACTCTGAATGCATCTGAAAATGAATTGCAATGAATTATAATATGGTGTTAGAGTATTGTTAAAATATTGTATCTACATCATTTTAAAATAACTTGAACAGGAAAATTTAAAATCACCAAGATTTTAATTGATATGTACCTGATTTACTCAGTCAGCTTTCTTAATTTATTTTTCTCACCATCTTGGTTATATTTTGGCAATAACATGACCTATAAATATGGGCCAGATTTCTTAATGCTTTCACCGCAAGCATAAGGAAAATCATATTGCTTAAGATTGAAAGAAGAAAATTCATCCAATAACGTTACTGACACAAATTTAACATCTATGCACAATAGCTATTAAATTAGTAAAATGTTAAGCACTTTCATGGATGTAGACTGAAAGTATTTGCAATGAATAGGAATGTGAAGTACTTACACATATAAGCACATGGATATTCAGAAACTCTGGGGAATCGGTGGTGGAGCCTCAAGCTGTGAGGACCAGTTAATACTCCAAATCCAGAGCGAGAGACC